TTCGATCATGGATTACAAAAAAAAAAAACCGTACGGAATCGCCGATTCACTGTTCGGACTCGCCGATTCCGTACAGTGAATCGGCGATTCACTGTACAAAATCGTCCGGTTCTCTCTAGAACCGGACGATTTCTGATTTTTTGGGCGATCCGGTCCCTTTTCACTATTTCCGAGTCGAACCGGGCGAGTCCGGTTCGACTCGGCGTTTTTTAAAATGCTGGTTGAAAGTAATGATATGAATTTAGCAAATAAAATAAAATATAAAAAACTAAATACAATGTCATCAAAAGTTAAACAGGATATTAAGAAATTGAAAGAATAAAACCGAACGACCCAAAAATTAATAAAGCAAAAACTAATAAAGATTAATGCTTCACTTAAGTTAAATATTTAAACTTTCATCTAATATATTAATCTCGATGCATCAACTAGTTGTACGTAGTTCTTGTTTATCAAAGATGGGTTTTACAAATGAATAATTGGTTCATGCGGGCTGGACGGCATTTGTACAATATGCAATCTAAAGGTATAAAGCATCTATCTTAAAGATAGATGCAAATAGGTGGTCCATCTAAAAACAATTGAAACTAATGGTCCAATATTTTCTTATTAGAGTTATTATTTCTAGTTTGTGAAATTTATTTATTTTTTCATATTCATGATCCCCATCATAAAAATTATATTGTTTTCTAAAAATTAGGATCCAATTCTATTGTAAAAATAAATTTATTAAGGAGCCCGCATTTTTACATGTGCCGGCTTGGTCGCATGCTAACCGCGTCCTTTATGAATTTCATGTCTATTGATATATACAAGGACAAGGTTTTTCCTCCGAGTCATCTATTTACATGAGCCTGCCATCTAAAATTCATTTTAGATTTGGATTTTGTATCCAAAAGCTCATCTATTTACAAGAGCCTGCCTTCTAAAATTCATTTTAGATTTGGATTTTGGGTCCAAAAGCATAGGGGTTAAAATAACCACTATGATGAATATGAATACAAGAAGGAAAAATAATTTTTAAAAATAAAAGAAATATATTTTTGGGTTTTCTTTAACACCCTCTTTTTTAAGTAGCGGTGGAACCATCATTTTTGCGCCTGATGTTTGATGCATCAGAGGATGCATATGTGGACCTGTGTCCCCCACATATTTTCTATAAACCAAAGTTAATAGTCAAGGGACCATAGCATACTTTTCCATCATTAACTCTAATTGCTCTAGAGAATTTATAGTAGGTCATCACTGTCCACTCATTAATTGGATGGTCTCAATGAGATAGGGAGTTCATGACTTATCTTCTTAGGGTTCCACCTCTCAATTGCCCTGCTCAAGTATACATAAAAAGATATTTTGTGGTCATGCGGACTATCGTGAACTTACACAAATTTGTGGCCTTTATTATCTACATGGGTCACAAAAAGGGGTACGTGAACTCATGCAGCACTGCCTTTGTAATTAAAATGACATATTGTCCTTATGATTCCAGAAATAGTATATAGATATAGATATAAATAGTATATAGATATAGATATGGATGTCATTTAATTGGAAAAAAACTAAAATGATGATGATAATATAGGTTCCATTTGTATAAAGACATCAATTTTGAACAATCAAAATATTGTGAAGTCACCAAATCTTATCGGGAGATGCTGTTTCAATATTAAAAACTCCTAATATAATCTTAAAATCTATTTTCGTTAATTATAAAATTTAAAGCTAAAAAATAGTGCACACTAAGCGGATTTAGAACACTTCAGTTTTTTTAAAATGGACAACCTAAATAATGCATTTCAAGATGTGCTACTTCCAGGATTGAACTCCATTTTTTCTCATATCCATATATATCAAGGCTGAGATGATCAACTGGAAGGCCTTCGAGCGTTGGAACAACCTTTTTTTATGGGTTTTTGAGGCACACCTTACTTCTATAATATGACGTTAACAATGTATATAAATTTATTCCTTCACCTTACTTCTATAATATGACAATGTATACAAATTTATTCCTTCACCTTACTTCTATAATATGACGTTAACAATGTATATAAATTATTCCTTTATATATACCTTCCTTTATAATCATAAAAAATGAGGACCAACTTTCGCCGCCTAACATTTCAATAACTTAAAAAATATTACCTTTATTTCAACTTATTCAAAATTATCATTCAAAATTCCTTTTTCTTCATTAAGCCACCTTCTTAAAATTTTGATTGATCGGATCAAAAAAAATGGCCTTTTAATAAATAATTTATTTTGAAAATGTAAACAAGGAGAAGACAATTTACATTTAGTACAAAGATATCAAAATCATTATTGATCATTATGTAAAATTGGGCATCTGGGGATGTATAATTGACTAAGTACAAAGTCTAAAATAAAATTTATCAATTATTGTGACACACTTTAATCTATTGTATTTCACATCTAATGATTAAAATTGATTGTAACTTCCCATACAAAAAATGAATAGTCTACCATCCCTTTCATTTTCTATGATTTATTTCCATCTTCTCACTTTCTCCGCCTAATGTGCTTCTTTTCCCACAAATTGACATCGTTTCCTCTACAAAAAGCCTACTATCTTTCTACCAAAACGAAAAACCTACATAATTTTTCTCTCTTGCCAAAGCCCAATAGGTTTTATCTCTTTGCAACAACACACTCACCTCTTTCCCACTTATTAATATTTTTTAAAGGCACTAAATATTATTTCAAAAGAAATATCCTTTCAAAATCATAGTTTCCCCAAAGCAAAACTTTTCTTTTAATATAGAAATAGAGAGAAGTAGTAGATATTTAGTTACGCACTTATAATTATAGAAGAGGATGTCGAGTTAAATATAGGAATACCGTCTTCTATTGTGTTCATGAAACCAAAAGGAGATAAAGTTTATATGGAACATTCAGCATAATTCAATGACTAAACACATGAGGAGATAGAAACTGAATGAGGTTCAAACAGTCGCTGAGTGCATAAAGGCTTGATAGATAGTGGGACTATATAAGAGACTAATGGACATATTTTTCAAGGTATATCCATGAATTACGGTTCAAAAATATCTTAATATGAGACCAAACTATGGGACCACATTCTCATGGCTCCATGGCTATTAATTGCCTCTCCGCACAATATTGGAGAAATTTGGATATAAATTGATATGCCTTAAGAGACTCCGTTCATCAAAAAAAGGGGTTTGACGGTCGAACATTATGAAACCTCATTAAATAATGTTGGAATGAGGTGGAACTATGCAAATATCTATATTGGGGGCTTATATGCCTCTAATCCAAGATCATAGCATTGTTTGATACATCTTTTGATTCACTAGTTGCCAGGATATGCCTTGACTGATGACCCATCTTGATAATTGAGGATTGATATGAAATTTTTGGAAGTGTCATATTTGAGGAGTGGTAACCCTCTAGTTTTAACTTATTTGGAGATGATTTGACCACTCATTGATAGATAAGGCTTATATCCATTGATTGTCAAGTATATATAGACAACCTTCGGACATCAAAATCGAGGTTTCTCCCAATATATATGGCGTTTCTCGTGGTACTTGAACCATTCGATACCCAACTCATTGTCTTACAAATCTTTGGAGTATGATACCATGAGAAAGAGGTTGGAGCTGAAATAGTGGTCCTCAAACTATTTTAGATCTTAACTACTAACCCTCATATCTCCCGGAGTAAGGAGTTTGGACATCAAATTTTGTGGGGATGTTCCTCATATGCGCTGTTACAAAATATCCAATTGCCATGGTCAATACTTCTACATGGTGAGAATGGTTTATCCTGCAATAGTCTAATCTACTACCCAAATCTGTAGCAGAAATGGGTCAACTTCAACGAGGCATATATCCCTAATTATTGATCCATTTAAGGTGAAACTTTTACCATTTAATTCCACATTTAGTCCTCTATCTCCATGCCAATTTCAAAACCAAAGGACTTCCATCAGAAAGCAGCATCCATTGTAGTAAAAAATGCTCAAGAAGACACAAGTTCGACTGACAGTCACAAAAATGAGAGGAACACTGTATTTTCTCATGGGACGATCTGGTCACAATGGGTTTGTTTTTTCTTTAAACTCAATCGTGATTTAAAATATGTCAAGACCTATCCATTTGAGCTCTTCAAGGGAATATAGGTGGGATTGAACGTTATCCCATATAACCAATATGTGAAATGGTGGCTATAACGGCCTCATGTCCTCAAGGAATAGAGATTTTTTCTTCTTTTTAATTTTTTGGAGGGAAAGAGAGATGAACATGTTATAGAGTTCCAAACAGATAAGCCATTCTGAGAACACACAGAAACCATTGCAGTCTACAAGATCAAATCCTTCATAACACTCTATCAAACAACAAGAAAGCACTCTTTGTGTCGTTATGATATGAAGATAAGCCTATAAGAGAAATCATAACAGGGACCTCTGATTCGAACCCATTTCTCATCACAAACCCATGAATTTCTCTGGTTTTTAGTTCTGGAAAAATCCGAGAAACCCTACGAATAACAACCAATAAGTAACATAATTGGGCCTTATGCCTGAGTATAACATGCAATTGAAAAAATTGAGAGCTTCTTGGGCACAGCCATTTCTAGCATAGCCCGAGATCAATGCAGTCCATAAGAACATATTTCTTTCATGCATAATTTCAAAGACTTTCTTTGCCAAATGCAACTCTTTGGATTTTATATGAGAAATCAAGAGAGTGTTTGATGAATGGAGGTTGTACTCATGTGGGTTTTGCTTGTGGTGGCCATGAAGTGTGTTACCCTGTGGCGTCAGAGAGACCATGGCTGAAAAAGAACTAAAAACAAAGGCAATTGTGCACAAGCTGGGGTAAACGAATTCATTTGACAATTGGAAGTAGAGAGAGATGGCTTTTTCGGGGTACCCATTTGAAGCACAGGCTTTGATCATGGAATTGACGCTGGGTGTGCTCACGTGAGGGGGATTTTGGAAAGTGGGGAAATATGGTGTGATGAAAAGCAATTAAGGTTTCAAGAGGGAAGGTAAGGATTAAGACTCTTAACAAGCTCCTCACATAAGTGTTAAAAAAATCAACTCGGCCAAGGTACTGGGGACCTGGTGGAGGCAATTTACTCGGACGAGTCCGAGTGACTCGCCTCTTTACAAGGCAATTTACAAGGGTAAAGTTTACTCTTTAGAGGTAACCAATAAGTCATACTAACATATTGGATATAAATTTACGATAATATTATAGTTAAACGTTAAAAACATTTTGTACAACTGACTCGCCCAAAACTTGCCTCTAGTTTGAGGCCGAGTCCGAGTAGCCACGGCCGAGTTTTAAAATTATGTACTAGACACATGATGGGAAACACATTTGAATTAGAGTTAGGCCACTTCATCAATGGGAAACTTAGTCATTTTGAAAGGCTCAAGGCAGCAAGTCCACAAACACTGTGGTGTGTAGGGGTGCCAAAGGGAGCCTGGGAAGGACCGGGCCATTGAATTTGGCCCGAGGGCAGGGCTTAGTCCAGAAATTTAATCTCAGTGACCGGCGAAACGTGGGTTAGGGGTCCATTGCTATGCTCAACAAACCCATTTTATTTTTTCTTAATGACCTTTTTTAAAAAAATTGGGTCTCTATTTGGCCCGATGCCACAACCACTAACTAGGCCATCTAGCCGCTGGCCTTGGCTTGGCCTATTGCTATCTTTGGCTAGGGCTGGCAACGGTCGAGCCTGTGCGGGACTAGACCTTGCCTGGGCTGGCCTCGGTCCAAGTCAGAATAGGTCCGGCCATGACCCAATTAGCACCAGGCTGAGTTGGGGCCGGGCCTAGGTTTAAACAAAAAGGAACATAGAAAGAACCAAAAGAGAGGGAGGGACCAACCATAGCCCCCAAATGAAGCATGGTGCGGGCTGAGGTAGGTCCTCAGGCCAACTCTTGTGGCCTATACTTGGTTTTTTCAGGCCGGCTGACCTGGCTGGGCAGGCTAGGCCGCAAGGAATAGCAAGCCACATCTTTCACTATGGCCAGCAAGAATATGAAGGGCCCAAACCAATTTGTCAATAGTCCTGACAGTCGAGTAGCAAATTCAGTGTTTCAAAAGTCGGATCGGGTTCGGACTCGTCACGCAGGTATCGAATTCCGATTGGCGCATCCATATCAAACAACAAAATTTTAACTTAACTGGAAAACCCAGACTGAAGCAATTATTTCAGAGTAGAATCATTCAGTGGCTTTTCAGTCTAGAATCTCCAGCTTCCCAATCTGGTCCAACTCAGGCGACTCTGAAGTAGGACAAGCCATGTTTAAATCACTTAGGAAATCACAGAAATACCCTAAACATTATGAAAAATCAGCCAAATTCCATTGCTATTAGCCTATCTAGATCTGTGAATCCCAAATTACTTCATATCTATCACAAGCTGAGGTAATAGTATCAATTATTCTGGTTACCCACAAAATTCACCTCAAACCATGTGAACAACGTCCTAACCAGAGAGACCATCACAGGTCCATAAAACAACAAAATGCCCTAAACAAAGCTAGAACACCTCCTAAATTATGTTATAAAAGAAAAAAAAGAAAAAAGGGAAACAAGAGGAAGAAGTTCCACACATAAAATTCTATAGAAAAACAAACCATTATTATAACAAGCTTCCCTAAACTAGACCACAAATTGATCCCACAAAACAAGAAAATGTCCTAAAGCATACCACAATTAGCCCACACAAACGCCCCCAAGACAAGGGCACAACAGTACCATATGCTGACAAAGAAACAATACCTCCACCTTTTAGAGAGGTGTACCAATCTTACCCAAATAAGCCTAGTCCATGCCCAAATGACCAAAACTACCCTAAATCTCAACAACTTCATGGCCAGCAAAGTTATTGCCTTTGTGCATCTTCTATCCCTTCCAACATGGACTATGCATGCATGGCATTTAACCAAATAAATGAACCAGGCTCTTACACTTGGAGCACCATGATAAGGGGGTTTTCATGTAGCTCAAACCCATTAGAAAGCCTGAAGTTCTACAGTGCAATGAGAGCCCATGGACTCATAGCCAATAGTTACACCTTATGCTTTGCTCTTAAGGTTTGTGCTAGAGTCTCAGCCATTAGTGAAGCACAAGAGCTCCACACTGAGACTATAAAAGCTGGGTTAGGTTGGGATGTTAATGTTATCAACACTTCATTCATCAAACTATGGTGAATTAGAGCATGCTGGTAAGCTCTTTGATGAAAGAACTGTGGTTTCATGGAATGCCATGATGGGTGGTTATAACCAAAGGGGTTGGTTTTGTGAGGCATTGTATTTGTTTAATTTCATGAGAGAGGGGTTACAGAAGCCAGATGGTGTTACAGTGGCCATGGTGCTCTCCAGTTGTGCAAATTTGGGGGCCCTTGGAGAGGGGCGATTAGTCCATAATTACTTAGAAGCTAGTGATGTAAACATGGATTTAGTAATTGGCAATGCGCTCATGGACATGTATGCCAAATGTGATAGCTTAGAGGATTCGTCTAAAAAATTTTAAGAGGATGACAGAGATATTTGGTCTCTTGGAATTCTATGATAAATGCTTTTGCGATCCATGACAATGCTAGTAAGGCTCTCGATCTCTTTCGATTAATGAGAACATATCGTAAAGAATCTAAGAGTGTGCACCGATTGTCACTCGGTGACAAAACTTATCTCAAAGATAAACGACCGAAGAATCATCATTAGATATCAGAGCCACTTCCACCATTTCAAGAGGGGTAAATGTTCTTGTATGGAGTATTGATGATTCCAAGGGTTTCAGAAGCCTCAAGAGAAACCTCAAATTTTGCCAGTTCTTACAAGAAATGATGGGAAGGTGATGAAGGGATAAAGAATTAGTATACTTTAACCCTAAGGTCGGTGGAAAAGCATAGGGCTCAGGATATGAATGATGGATGATTGTGGAGAGGGAACACACCAATAGGGTCATGTATCATTCTTGCCAGTACCACTCTATCTCCATCACTGCCTACCTCTTTGAAAGGTGATGACCCTAAGGCCTGTGGTTCTTCCAGAGGCCAATAGATTATGGTATAGTTATCCCAACAGTAAAACATGTTAAAAACCCATCACAACATTGAGCTCTCTCTCTCTCTCTCTCTCTCTCTCTCTCACACACACACACACACATGCAAAGACACTCACATGCACGACAAGATGATGAAAAATTCTGGATATCTGAATTAGCAAATGAAAAGAGAAAGGGTGACTTACTCTGGCTTGTTAGGGGCATCTTCAGGATCAATACTCATCATGTACATATCCTTACTTGGTTCGTTAGCTGGCTCCTCCAGAATGTCCCCCTTCAAATTGAAGGATCAACAAAAGCCATGATCAGAACATGTTCACAGTTTTCCGGCTCTCATTCAACAAATTCCAATATTTGCTTTAATTTTCTTAACAAGTTCTCTGACAACAGGTCATGGTAAGCACCCACTATCTAAAACCATACGTGAAATGGAGAGAATAGGAGATTGTCAATTTAAATGTTGTTATGTCATGCATTCATATATATATATATATAAGCAAACAAATGCTTGTACAAAGTTACAATCAGTGATTTAAAGCGCCTGGGCAGCAGCTGAGGCCGTCCAGAAGGCCTGGGCGCATCGCCCAAGCCTATGCTGCCAAATTAGGCAGGATATCCCTGGGCACCCTCCTAGGCACCCGGGAACCCGCCTAGGCGAGCACCCAGCCCTGGGCAGCCGCCCAAGGGCAGAAATGCCCCTCGTCGATGGCATTTGTTTGGTAATTTTTTTGATACAAAAGGGGCAAAATTGTGGGTTTTAGGTTCATTTGAAACCTAAAACCCATTAGAAGTTACAAGAAATTGATCTAAACATCACCCATTGATATTAGATTTAGTTTTGGATGTTTTACAAATCTATTAGAGGGTCTTTTAGAAGATTTTGAGTCCTTAGAAAATCTTAGAGGTGGAAGTTTAAATTTTAGAGGTGGAAGTTTAAAGATCGAGCAATCAAAGTTGGTGATTTTTGGATATGGACTTATGGTTATGGACAATGGAGGAATGTGTGCTACGTGCACTTGTGTACTATACGTTTAATATGCTCTAAATCCCTAATTCTTATATGTTATACAGTTATGCTTATACCGTTAGACTATAGAGACATTTTTTGCTACTGGGCCGCCCAAATTCTAGATGCCCGCCTAGGCGTTTGGAGGCCTAGAGCCCCTTGGGCCTCCTAGGCGCCGCCTAGCGCTTTTTGAAACATTGGTTACAATACAAAAATAGCATACTCAAACTGCGCAAAGAAACAACATTATTCAACATTAAAGACCTAATACGTAAATTACATGAGATTTGAAATTCACACTAAAACTTTAGAGTCAAGCTGAATGCTTTCTTAGTAAATCTAGACACAAGAGCAATATAATTGGAAACAATGAAAAGATCACCCACAAATTACTGAGATTTGACCTCTTTAAAACTTTTGAGGTATCTAGAAGGGACAGGCAGAACGACAAAATCTTTAAAGAGTTGAACATAGCATTCTGCAATGAGAGAGGATAAGAGACTTGATTATCCAATAGTCTTGATCTCTGAAAAATGGCTCTCTCTTATGTGGTCTCAATACATCTGATTAGCAAACTGTCATGTCACATGATGTACTTTCCATATGTTGAATGAAATTTTTAGTCCCTCAAAGAAAAGTTTCATTTATCGTTTTGATTTCTAAGAATCTGGATTAAAGGTGATGAAAAAAATGGGAAGAAGTTAGGAAAAAGAATTACCTAATGGCTAAGGTGCCAAAGGTTACGGTCTCTGCTGTAGATAGATTTCTCTGTCACAGGAACTGGAACACTGTGCTTCTTCGCATATTCAATTGCATCTTCTCTCCCTTTGATGTCCCACTCACGCCAAGGTGCAATCACATGGAGTTGGGGGTTTAATGCAAAGAAAGTTAGCTCAAACCGGACCTTCATTTACACATACCACATAGTTCAGACACAAATAAACATGCAAAATTAGATATATCATTTGTTAAAAAATTTATAACGAGATATAAAGTGATCCCTTCCCAATGCATCCATGAGAAACAGCATCTGCTCCAACCTCTTTTGCAACTTCAACCATAGCCTGAAACGGACGAAAGAGATGACAATATATTGATGAGAGGGCTAATTATTTAAACAATTTGCCCTGTCATTACAGGACTACGTTCTCTGCATCATTAAATTCCACTGTAGCACAACACGATACAGCCTTTTAGCCATTTCCAAGTTGTCCCCTGGTGATGGCCAAGATGGACAATTGCACTGAGGAACAAAACAAATAAATTGATTCCACAGCCCTCGCATCAATCAAAAAGGCATGATTTTACTGATATTATGTTAATAATTTTGCAACCAAAATTCATCATTAACTCATGCAGATCACAAAGAAGAAAAAGTTCTCCATTTCTAGGATAAATCACCGAATATCCCACTCAGTTATTTTCTCCTAGAAAAATTTGGGTAATTTGTTTAATAGGCTACCCAATGGAAGCCAAGCAAGTATCACATTTTCTTTTTTGTTTTTTTTTTTTCTTTTCTGTTCTTTTTTAACATTCTTTGACCCATGCAACACATAGAGTTTGTCTTTGTTTCATAGGTCCTTCAAAGTTCAAACCATAAAGATTTTATTACGCTCAAAATACAGAATGAATATTTTTTCTGTACGGCTCAAAAATTACCATTAACTACAAAGTTTTCTCAATGTTTCCAGAAAAGAAATATCGACGGCTTCCTGAATAACCAAGAGTGTCTGTCGTACCATTTTTCTTAAGTAATAAAACTCAATCGAAAAAAAGAAGCATGTGCTAGAAGTTAGAAATGACAAAATTGATGTTATAAATTGCTAGAGGAAAAGACCAAAATGCCCCTCTCAAGAGAAGAACATAGAAATTGCACAGAGAAGTCTTCAATGCCAGGAATACTAAGGGAAGTGCTTCCAGTTGCTGCAAAAATTTATTTTAGCCAGCTGCATTCCGATATTGGAAAGCAGTAACACGTTTTTATACATCTGATGTTATGAAAATCACCATTTTACCATTTCTGGAAGTAGCACAACATTTCCTTCATCTATTTGAAGGCCTGGCCACTTTCAAACCTTTGAATCCCTTATAGAGGGAAAATCACACTATTTATGTAAGGCAGAAAATATATCCACTATCATCATAAATGAAGATTGTAGAATATTTGAGCACCATGAAAAGTTCAGCTATTTGAAACATGGCAATAGCAATCTACATGTAAAAAACGCCTCACATATTGGCATGTACAATAGAAATTCAGGGCAAGGCATACTGAAACATCACCTTAGCAATAACAGGGCGTGCCATAGAAGTACCTAGCAAGTACTTCCTTTCATAAATGGCACCGGCACGCAAACAAGGAAATATAAAGTCCTTCACAAACTCCTCTTTTAAATCCCTTACAACTAACTGACTTGCACCACTTGATTTAGCCTTTGCCTCCAGACCTCCAGCTCTTGCATACCCTTCGAAATCATATTTTAGCAATTAGTAAATCAGCATTCCCCTTAAGAACTACTCATAAAATGCATTCACGACACAAAGGAAAAGAAGAAAGTAAAACTGATTACGGTATTAGGTATGTACATAAGAATAAATGCTTCACCAGTGTCTTTATACAGACAACAAAACATGTATAAACATTTTGGAATCAAAGCCATTCAATACCGAGGCCACATTAGTATGACTCATCAGAGCATCAAAATATGTTCTAATAAGGGATATTATCTTTCTTTTTTTTTTGGAGAGATTGTAAGGGATGTTGTCATTAAACATCAATTTTTGTATCAATTAAGTTTCAGAAAAACTAATTAAAAGAATGTCGAAAGAATAATCACAACAAAGATAGAGAAAAATGCAAAAACTATCTCCATACTTAACAGTACGCACCTGCCCAAGATCTGCAGTGAAGCATACTACATCACAACCATAGTTCTCCCTGCAGAACATCACAAAAAAGCAGCAGATTTTAGTTTACGTAAGAAAAATTGGCCAGGTCGACATCAACAAGTTAAATTAATTAAAGGGAAAATGATGAGATTAGCCCACTAGCTCATATGAACATATGAGCCCAATGGCCCAGATTGAATCTAGGCAGATTTGACGGTCGCACCCTCATTTTGATCTGACGATCACGACCTCATTTTTTTTCTACTAATCCAAATAATTTAAAATTTTAGACGTGTGTTCTTCAAAAATAGGATAATCTAATAAAAATATCAACAAAATAATTTACAATAAATATATTGACCAAAATACCCCTGAAATGTTTTGGAGGTATTTTGGTCCATGTATTTTTTGCGAATTATTTTTTAAATATTTTTTATTAGGTGTATCTTGTTGAGAAGAATAGATGTCTAAAATTTTAAGTAATTTGAATTTGTAAAAAAAAAAAATTGAAATTCAAACAAGAAATGAGGTCGTGACCGTCAGATAGTGGTGTTTAGACCATGACTGGCTAATTTTTAGGGATTTTGTTGATAATCTTGATTTTGATTCAAATTTTATCTTTTCTTGAGTGAACTTATCCCAAAAGCTTCTATCTTAAGTTGATTTTTTCTAATTTTTTTTAGCATTTAAAGATAACTTTCTATATTAAGGATGATTTACGAGGGTTTTAGGATTTTTTAGGAGATCCTCTAGGGTGTTTCTAGAAGGTCAGGAACATGGTAAGTAACTAAAAGAAAAGGTGATCTAGGGTGTATTAGGTTAATTTGGTCCCTAGAGATCGACTAGGCATTTTTAAGGATTTAAAAATTGGGGAAAATAGAGAAAAAAAATAGCCAATTTCAAAATGAGGTGTATTTCTTATTGGTTGTTTGTGAAACTGTTTGTTTGTTCCTGAACACCTGATAATGATTTATCTATTCCTTACCGTTGAGGAAATTCTCAAGTTATCTCAATTACTATTAACGTGGTTTTTGATCAGATTGGCACAAAGTTGAGTGGGTTTGTGGTACTGCAATCATACAGCATTAACAGATCTCTTAGAACTATTCCGATATCACCATACATAGATATAAAAACTTAGCTTTTTTTGAAAATTAAAATATAAAGTCTAATGAAAGCACTTCCCTAGTGGCCTGGTCTTCATATATATATATATGTGTGTTTTATTCTACTGTGGTGCTAGTACATGCTCTTGATTGAAGGGTTTCCATTCTCTCTCCCTTGAACATTTTCTAATCTTCTTCTACCTTTTTCATTTAATTTTTGTTGTAACGAATGACTCCATATCTGATTTGGGTAAGATTGTATTTTATTCATCCAAAATAAGGAATTGAATATCTAATTACAAGTACATGCTGAATTGAACAAATCAAATCTTACCGTGCATCACATATTGTTGAATTTTATTGCTTTGCTGTTCTTTTATGTTTTAATCCAGTTATTAAGATAGCAGTAACTTAACTAGTGGTGAGACAAACATACATGTGACTCCCAAGGGAGCAGGGTTATGTGGGAATCTTAACAAAGTGGTTTTAGCCTACTGCGGTGGCTTGGATACTTCAGTTATTGTACCGTGGCTGAGGTTTATTTTCTGTTGCTTTGGCCATAACTGAGTTAAAAATGTACAATTTTATAGCCATTTTCTATTGGGTTTGCTCAATTTTAGGAAATTGGTTCATATTTCCATATTTCCTCAAGTTACAAGTGACTGATTGGCATAAGATTTGCATTAGATTTGTAGGATTCAAATTATAGCTGTTCATTAATTTGACTCTTATTTTTATAATTTTTAATTGAAAAATACTGAGATTAGCCTACTAACTCATATGAACATATGAGCGCAACATCTGACCATGCAATCTCTATTGAATTTTAAATTTACTAGTTTTGTAGCGATAGACCAAGGGATCTCAAATTTAAAATCCTCTTGATTTCGAGCTGTAAACAATACTAAAACTCCAAATGGAAAAAATGCATTTTAAATAAAAACTAACGGAAAAGTCTCAGAAAAAAGAAATAACACTCATCATATAAACTTTCAAGACAAGAAAAGCATTTCACCCACCTTCAGATACAGAGATGAATTCCTTCCACCCTGGATCCTATCCCCATTCAAAGTTGTGCCTTCTATAAAACAAGGAAGAACGATTTCTCAAAACCAATTCCGCAAATACACATGCAATTTGTTGGTCCATAGTTGTACTAACCGTTGCCAAACTAGTTTTCAGCAATTATTCATCAAACTCAGAGAATTGGAATATCTTAAATGCTGCGATAAATAGACGACCTGAAAATAAATAAGTATCCTATGCAACTAGCCCCATGTTCACATAATTTGCAGACACTTATTGACAGGTACTGCTCTCTTTGTACGAAGAGTTGGCACCAGAAATCCATTTTCTAATAGACTTATTAAGATTTATTTAATTGGAAAACTTATTAAAATGTCCATCCTATCGTTTCAAAATCTTCCCTTGAAGAATTAGCCCCATATTAGACACCATATGGTGTCTTTTCTTCTACATTACTCTGAAATGTGGTCCATTTTCTAGTCTTAGACAGCAAACTTTAATGACACATACATTCTCAGGTTACATTGTCTTTCTGAATTGAGAAAATACCAGCAATTGAGGCAAGAACCCGAATGTCGGGAGATAGGAAGAGACAACGGAAATGCCCCCAAAATGATGCCATAAAAAAATGTCATCGGCCTCAACTAATAATGGGGGATTACCTCGACGTTCATGTCCTATTAGGTCAGTAGGTCCATGTAAAATATATGTAAAGTAATTAGGAGAAACTTACCTACTACATCAGTAGATCCATTAAGGGGAAGGTGAAGTTATCAGCTGAAATGTTTTCATGTAACATGTGGATGTAGAGAGAGAGAGAATTAGGTGGGAATGCACTTGACGACAATATTCTTCAATATTTATGTGAGTACTGGTATTTTTTGAATATATTTATATTTTTGGTAACATGTTGGATGAATGGAAGGAACCAGCGTTTTAAAAAACGCCGAGTCGAACCGGACTCGCCCGATTCGACTCGGAATTCGCGAAAAGGGATCGGATCGATTGAAAAATCGGAAATCGTCCGGTTCCAGAGAGAACCGGACGATTCCGTACAGTGACTCGCCGATTCACTGTATGGAATAGGCGAGTCCGAACAATGAATAGGCGAGTCCGTACGGAGTTTTTTTTTTTTTTG